ATGGATCAGAGAGCGGACTTTCACTGCTAACATTTCCTTGTTACATTTCCCACAGGAAAGGTACAGGTTGTTTAGTTTTCAGATAAACACACAGGATATGGGAGCTGGGATTTAACCCCTAATACTGCCCTCTAATCACAGCCTGCAAGAGGATGAACTAAATGTCATTTTGATTATTTTGTCTAGGTCTAATTATGTGTTAATGTATTCCCTATGTACGATTTATAATTTATTTATTAAAGTATTACACTGTTTGCAATTTGTATATGTGTAGTTTGTCTGCCCTGATTGCCTTTGCAGTTCTGTTCAGACATGTAACTGACTACACATCTCAATTGGCCTGTCCTTTCCATACCCACAGGGCTTTACAGATGCAACGCTTCAGGTAAGCTAACCTTTTAGTTAATATTGTAAATTATTTTATGTGCAATGAGCTTTTTTTGTAGAATTTGGTCATTTTCCCACGGCACTGCTGACGAGTTATCACAGCACACCGGCTGAAAAACACTGTTTTAAACAATGTCTTGTCTGTGGGGGAATGCTCATCACGGATTTAAAAGGTTCACGGAGAGGTCATGTAAAAACACAGAATGCCACAAAACATTTACAAGAAAGCGGGCATACTGGATGCTACACTGACTACCAGTACACAGTGTACAGTGTACACTGGTTACACTTCGCAGTACGCCGTATGCAAAATGCACGGATTCGAAACACCACCCCCCCCCACCGCCCAGACCTACAGTAAATATCACTGAACCTCACGGGAAGTTAAAAGGCACAGAGTGTGAAGCAGATTTCCACCTCCTTCATCCCTCGAAGATCTGTCTGACTTTTCTTCTTGAAGGATGATCCACTGTCCCATTAGACACAGTTAAGGATTTTGCAAGACAGAATTTCAAGAAGGTCAGAAGTGATTCTGCAGGCAGAAGGTGGCACGATTCCTTATTCCATCCCAGATATTAATACATTATTCCATTATTCCCTTAAGTAAAATCTTGTTTATCAATAGCATTGGGCTCAAGGACAAGCATTTTCAGAACAGGCAGTTGAATTTCAAGCAGAACAAAGCTGAACACGGGCATTAATGGAAAACCAGGATGCTTTGGCTTAACGAAACAGATTTATTTGGTTGTTTGTAGGTCTCAGTTATCTCTATGGTAATTAATCCCCATTTAAAGAGGGTTTTAGTGATAGCATCTCATGACATGATTACTAAAAAGGTTTTAAGCCTTCTTTGAAGATTGTCACACACTGCTGAAGATTTAAAAACAGCAATAGCTCCATAAATTGTGCTATAATCGTCAATTCTGAGGAGTAGCTGGATATCAGGACCAGGGTAAGATCTCCACAGCATGGTGCAAGATTGAAATGCACAGATCTATGTTTGTCGCTGTCTCTCTGCAGATAAAATACTCTGCAGTTATTTCAGCTTCTGTTCATACTCTCAGCAGTCTACTGGGGGCGATGCTTCTGATTGCTCTAACACACCGTTTCCACTGAAGTTTTGCACAAAGCAAACTTTCTGGCTTGAAATAGTGAATATGGTGTATTTCCATTGATGCATATCATGTGAATAATCCTTTAGTCATCTTGCAGGATTTACAAACCTGTCTTGTACAGCATGGGGTAGACTTTTCACGAGCTAGTAGCTCTATAAGAGCTGTTCGTGTCCATTGAAGTTTTGCGAATTAATTATTTCACCACAAAAAGGAAGGGCATCATGCAAATCTAAAAACATTTTTTGACAATATTTGAGGCTTTTTAAATTTGTGTTTCTGTTAATGATTTTCCAGTTTGTATCTTCAAAATGAGCAGAATCTAGGTCAATGGACACTTCACTACAGTTAGAATTCCTACGCTTCAGAGCTACACCACCAAACTGCAGCTTTAACTGGAGCAGTACACCCCCTCGAAACCAGCTAGGACCCCCTGCCATACTCTGTCTTTATGCAGAGGCATCAGCTCAGCCAGGTGAAACTGGAAGAGCGGCGATTCCCCCAGCGTTACAGTGACTGTATACAGTATGTGTGTGGACGGGCCTCTGTGTATGTGACGGGTCCCTGTATGTGTGACGGGCCCCTGTGCATGTGATGGGCCCCTGTGCATGTGATGGGCCCCTGTGCATGTGATGGGCCCCTCTGTGTATGATGGGGCCCTGTATGTGTGACGGGCCCCTGTGTGTGTGACGGGCCCCTGTGTGTGTGATGGGCCCCTGTGTGTGTGATGGGCCCCAGTATGCGTGTGTGCCGGCCCCCTGTTTGTGTATGTGATGGGCCCCTGTGTGTCTGTGTGTGTGATTGACTCCTATATGTGTAATATGAGATGACTGGAAAAGACTACCTACAGTGACCCTACAGGAAATGAGGTCGCCCATGTCCAGATTGGATTACTTCAGATCAGACAGTTACATCTGCAATTCATACATTAAACAAATGTCAATTTCTGTGATTTCATCACTCTGATAGTAAAAATGCTGAATGGTTTTAAGCCATGTCATTTTTCCAGGGGGACATGAGGACCACAGTCCACTCCCTGCCACAGGCACGGCGATCATTATCAGAAAGGCATCCCCCATGTCAGTGTGGCACTGAAACAACTCAATCAACGCCGCTAACAGAGCAGTGAACATCGGAGAGGATGGGACCTAGCACCCGGGCCTACAGTATGGAGCACATGAGCCCCACAGCGCCCCCTGCAGACTCGACATAGGTGGCGCGTAGTGTGGATGGCTGGGCTCTCTGATGAGCAAGCCGTGGTGTTTGGTGAAATCTCAGCTGTCTCCTGCATCTCAGTAACACATTTTACACCCCCCCCCCCCCCCACCATTTCACACCAATATGCGATTATCCACGTTCTGAACATGACAAATACAAAACCGTATGAATTTAATGCTGAGGTAGGGGATGTATCATGCTAACCGTAGAAATAATTCCGAATTCCCTCTAAACCACGTGACCCCCTCCGCCACCCCGGCCGCGATCGCTTCGGCTCGTCCCCTGTCCCATCCCGGCAGACAGGAGTAGGAGTTAAGTGCACGATTACCGGGATGGTGTGTTTGTGAGCCGGAAACGGCACGAAGGAGAGGAGGAGGTGAATCTCGGCCCGCTGCCAGCAGCGCCCTCCGCGCAGTGCTGATTCACTCGGAGCGGCGCTGTGTGGCGCGGGCGGCTCCGTGGGCAACGCTGTCGCCAGCCTCACATCTCCACGACTGGCCCGCTAATCCCGCCCCCGCTGTGCCGCACGAGTTTGCACGCGCTCCCTGTGGCACGCAGGTTACTCTACAGATCTAAAGGTGTGCTGTTAGACTCCAAGGAGTCCTATCTAAGGCTGCTCCTGCCGTCGGCCATTACGCTCTTCAACAAGTCACCCGACGACAGCGGAGGAGACCAGCTGTCTGAACAGACCAGAACTGCTTTGGCACAATCACAGATCATTCATTTGTTCAGTGTACTGCCAACTGTGCAATACTACTTATCTCTATTTATTTACTATAGAATTCTGTGCAGATCATTACTACTGTTTACTGTTGTTTATTATCTATCTATCTATCTATCTATCTATCTATCTATCTATCTATCTATCTATCTATCTATCATTTTTCATGCTGCCCATGCATGGTGTTTCATTGTGTATGTGCCCTGTCATGTACTGGGATTCCATCCAGGTTGTACATAGCCCTGTGCCCACATGTGTCTTGTGGGACAGGCTCCAAAGTTTAGGTGAGGCGTAGGTCTCTAGGGGGTCCAGTCACACTGGGTAGGATAAGCGACTGGAGGATACATGTCCGTAGTAGAGTGCAGATATAAAATTGTGGTTTATTGTGGATTTGCACCACAGTTGATTTAGGTTATGAAGTTACTCACCCTGAAATGAGACAGTTAGCCCATGGTTCATTCATTATTTACCCGCTTTTTGAAAGCTTCATATCGAGACCCCAGACCTGTAACAAACTGGGTCGCCTGTTATATCTGTTTATTGCCCCAAATGGCATCTGGCTTGGTGAGAGCTTACCTATGAATTATTTATAGATTTTTTATAGATCTGAGCTTTTTCTCCACGCAAAGCTTTTTTCACCCAAGCGGTAAATAAGTTTAGTAAATTACACGGGAATTGTTACCGTTCCTGCTGGGCGACTTCGCCGTCCTGAAGGTGCCTTTCCGGCTGCTTTTAGCCTGAAAATGTCTGAAAGAGGTCTGCCTGAATTCGAGTCTGGCACCATGACACCTAACTGTAAGTCTCTACTTGTGCTGTCGCGCACCCGGCCGGTGACTGTAGAGGACTTCCTATCCGCTTGGCTCGTGCACGCTGAGCAGCGTGGGAGTCCACAAATCCCTGAGAGCATTTGGTCACTCAGCTGCAGCCTCAAACCATATGAAACTATTACAAAGCTGCGAAAAAGAGTGAATTCCTTCATAAATGAAGCTCCTTTGCAACATTTGCATTTTGTTTACATTGCATCGTGTTTACATAGTTATTGTCATAATTGTACTCCTATTTATTGTCGTGCTATAAGCACATTGATTTGAATTTGAGATTTGTGTTTAATCTGTGTTTACCGGTCATACAGTCACGAATGACATGCAGAGTAAGATTTCATCGCATAGTGGACCTGGCTGATTACTGTGCATATGCCAATAAACTTTTGTATTGATCTGAATGTATTGCCAATATATATAGAAGTAGTGCTCGCATTCTCCCTGGCGGCGACTTTTCTGAAAGGGCAGGTGGGCAGCAGTGATCCCTGTTAGCGAGTGGCGCTGATGCCGAGCTGCAGGCTGGAGAGCAGCAGATCCCAGTAGATAATGAGCGGCGATCGGGATTCTCTTACCGAAGCTCCACAGATCAGCACCCAGATTGGGGAACAGCGGCGCTGCTCGCTTATGTGCATTGAATGGGATTGACCCATAGCCGCCCCCCCCCCCCCCCCCCCCCCCCCCCCCCCGCCCTTGCCTTTACTATTTTTACGGAGCAACAGCCACAAGTGATTTACACTGAGCCCTCGTCGTTAATGCGTGTGCGCGTCGGGTGCTTTGGAGGCATGCAGCTGAAGCAGCGTTAAAGCGCCGGATACCCCATCCCACCCATAAGGATGCGAGTGGGCAATGCCTGGCGACACGGAGGACCGGGTCTGTCACAGGGCGCTGGAAGTCCTGTCCGAGCTCTGCTCCAGGGGCGAAGTGCAAAGCGACAGCTGCCTGGATTTCATTTACTCTTTCCGCGATCTCGCCAAGCCGAGGTATACGGACTCAGGTAATAAAGCCGGGCGCTTCAGTACTCGGGGGTCAGGTACTGTATTGCAGCTAGTGAGACCTGTGCCAGGTATCGGGATGCCAGGTTTTACGCCCGGGAGGTCCAGGACCCGGGTGTCATGTAAGGTAGCCAGAAGGTCCCCTTCCCGGTACCGCGGTGTCTATTACAGCCGTGGTCGGACGGGTTCACTATGAGGATGCATTTGGTATTTTCTCAAGTGCATTGCATGCCATTGCAGTTCGCAACTTTGCCGTGTTTAGATGGCGCTACTTTGCCCAAGGGCGTCAAAACCCGCCTTAATGTCCAAAAGGCACGAGATCTCTGTCATCAAAATCCTCGTTTCCCTTTCGGGTGTAAAGCAGATTAACTTGTTGCGGAGATAGATGCTCAAAGGTTGCAATAAATAACTGCTTACCAGTGCTGGACCAGATCGGGACTCTCAAAGGAAATGCTAGGATTTTGGGTTTTGTTTCGAGTTAGCGTACATAATCTGACAGTCCTTTTGTCGTGGATTTTAAAAATAATAACAACAACAACAATAATAATAATAATAATAATAATAATAATAATAATATTTTATCCTTAGATATGGTCGATTACATCCCCTTTAGATGCATTTAACATGTTTGTTTATTTTTGTATGCGTCGCCGGATAATTAATGATGCACCGATGTTGCATGATTATCAGTTGGTACTATTGTAATTTAACATTTAAATTAAATTGTTATGAAGCATATATTACAACAGAAAGTTGTGCTCCAGATATCTGCTGGCTTGAGCTCGTTCACATGCTGCTGTGCATTTAGAGGCAGTTGGGTGATCTTGCACACTGCGGCTAGTTCTTGGGTAAAGTTAAATAAATAAAACGTAAACTTAGTTCTAAAATTGCTGGGAGGGTGCTGGTTCAAAGCTTTAAGGAGTCACTGTTGTCAGGGGCTGGGTTGCAGTTTTTGGGATCCCACTCAAAAAGTGACTTTGGGGCCCCTGTAGTGACCCTTTGCGGCCAATAGGGGGCCACTTGCAAATACATTGTTTGGGTGGTAGTAAACACTTGCTGACTGCTGCAAGGTATTCTGGAGTGTTTCAGGAGAGCTTTTAATTACAATGGCTGCAAGCAGCTGGGATACGCAGAGGTGCACACTGTCCAACCCTGAGTTTCCAGGTCAGTGATCTGTATATGAAGGGTAGGGAGGGTGAGACAGGCTGATGACATCCCACAGAGTGTTTTCACGGCTTCAGCGCATCTCTGCGAGACGTGGGCTGGTGTGAAGCGGGGCCTCATTCCTAAATGTCACCCTCCCACGGCGACGGCGTGAAGCGGGGGACGCCGCTGACATGAAACGTTAGTCAGTGACGCCGCGTTTGTTCCTCGACGTGTGAAGATCTCAGTCCTGAGCTGGATGCCGGCATGAGAGCGACGCAGCTCCTGTATGGAACGACCATATTTCAGAACGCAGCCTTGGCAAGTTCCACAGGCTCCTCTTATCAGAATAGCCCGTTAGTCATGGGGCTAAAAATATTACCAATGTTGACTTACAGTAACATCTTCTGACTTTTTGTGACACGTTACCATCTGGATAAGACACCAAAGCCATATACACACTTTGCCCACAGAATTAGAAGGAAATTGCTTAAGTTATTGTATGTTTTTAGTGTTATTTTATTGTTTACATTAAACTCCTGTGCTGTAGGCTCATAAACACATTTGTTATTCATAAGCCAAGTGTAAAGTTTATGCCACCTCAATGGCATAGCGCTCGGTTTTCGTGCATTTCTTCTTAGGAATACATTTAAATATTTATGTAATGTTTAGCTTGGCAGCGGCGTAACTTTGCCCATTTCCACGCAGCTGCTCTCTCTCCCTGTAGCTCGAGCGCAGCAGCACAGGGGTGATCCCATCTTTGATCGGCTGAGAAAGGCTCCTTTCAATGGCAGCTGAGTCGTTCTCTACTCCGGGGCCACTGATCTCGACACAGCCTCCTGTGTGCGGATCGCATGCGGTTTCCGGCCACAGCTGAGACTTCTGGGTAGCCATCTGCAAGTGCTGGTGCTTCCGACTTGCCATCAAAGGCAGCTCTGTGCAAACGTTCATCATTCCCTATGAATCCTGGCAAAGGAAGCGGGAGGGCGGTCGCCACGGCGACGTGCAACTGCGGCAGCTCATAGGAATCGACAGACGGGCAGTCAACTTGTGCCGTCCATGTTTACATGTCTCCACGGCACAAGAAGCCCCAGCACTCAGAGAGTTAAGCCACATGAAATGAACTTCATGAATCCTAGTGGGAAATTCCGATGCAGAGAGCAGCAGGGAATATATAGTGCAGACGAACAAACAAGGAATATACAGGGCAAAACAAAGATAAAGTCCGAAGTTAGTACACATAATGCAAACGTGTAAACAAATTTTAAAATATACTCTGTGTACAAGCACAATATTCTGAAAAAAGATATTAGAATTTAGAATTTAGTGATCAGTGGTCATTGTTGACACACCACAGCACACAGTGCACAACAACGAAATGTTAGGGAATTAAATAATGAATAACAATGAATAATTTGATTAACAGAAGGTGCATGTGAAGGTATAAGGGCAAATAGCACCGGATTATCTGCTTCCTGACGTGTTCCGGCGGGGGTGCTGGTGGGCCATTCTCGAAGGTTATGTCACGTTGGGCGTCGCTGGGCTGGACTCGAACTGCTGTATCTTCACACATTCTTACCCCATGGCCTCTGACTGACTCACAGTACAAAGGTTTTTTTGTTATCTGGCATAATCTATAATAGCAAGTACAAGAAGCAGCTGCCTCCTATCTACTGAGCACGCTCAGTCTCTCATCCAGCAGGTACAGCGAGACCTGTGCAGACTGCAAAGCTGATCCTGCACTGTTCTCTACGCACCTTGTTGAGTCTCGCTCTTTCTGTGATCTTGCTGTCTCTTTCGCTCCCCCACAGATCTGTCTGTCATCCTGATGTCTCTCTTTCCCCAACATCTAACTGTGAGCTTGCTGACTCTCTCTTGCCACCAGATCTGTATGTGAACCTGACATCTCTCTTTTATCCCTATGGACCTGTCTGTGAGCTTGCTGTGTCTCTTTTTCCTTCAAATGTTTATGAGCCTTCTGTTTAAGTCTTCCCTTCAAATCTGTCTGTGAGCCTTCTGTCTCTCTCTTTACTGCAGATCTGTCTGTGAGCTGGTGTCTCTTTGTCTCCCCTACAGATCTATCTGTGAGCTTGCTGTGTCTCTTTTTCCTGCAAACCTGGATGTGAGCCTGCTGTCTGTCTATTTTCCCTGCAGATATGTATGTGAGCTTGCTGTCTCTCTCCCCTGCAAATCTGTCTATGAGCCTGCTGTCTCTCTCTCTTCCCAGCTGATCTGTCTGTGAACCTGCTGTCTCTCACTTCGACACAAATCTGTCTGTGAGCCTGCTGTCTCTCTCTCTTCCGAGCTGATCTGTCTGTGAACTTGCTGTCTCTCTCCCCCCAACAGATCTGTCTGTGAGCCTGCTGTCGCTTGTGGTGACAGCATGTGGCCTGGCACTCTTCGGTGTGTCCCTTTTTGTCTCCTGGAAGCTGTGTTGGCTTCCATGGCGGGAACGTGGTATCTCCCCTAGCAACAAGCCAAGTGACTTGCAGCCAAGGGTGGCCCCCAGCGACACTGGGACTGGAGCTTGTGAGACTCATGAAGATTGTAATAAGCCCGCCTCTCCTGTACCTGACCATGTTCATGAGGTGGCCATGAAGATTAGTCACACGTCACCCGACATCCCTCTGGAGGGTCAGGCTGAGGCACAGAAGAATCACTCACCCCGTCCACGTATACAGCGGCAGAGCACAGAGCCCACCTCGTCCAGCCGGTTAGTTCCACCCTACCCCCTAAAAATCTGCCCGTGTTGGTGCAAATCTATTCTAAATACTACTTACTGAAAATAGATCAGAGGAGTTAAATAAAAAAAACATACTCTATTTTGCTTAATTCAACACTTAATGCAGATGAATTTATTGTTGGAGATGACACAAGGGACGTGATGACAAGACAGAAATGCATTAAAGTCATAATCATTTTAACATATTTTTCAGAAATGAGAACTGTGCACTGGAGCAAAGTTGTTCTGTGTTCCAAGAGGAATGTTCAGCTGCGTGGCAGGCAGACTGAAGAAAGAATGTGCTCAGCTGGGTGTCAGTCTGACTTGAGAAGGAATGTGTTCAGCTGGGTCTCAGTGTGCTCAGCTGAGTATCAGCAGATTGAAAAAGGAATGTGTTCAGCTGCGTGGCAGGCAGACTCACGAAGGAATGTGTTCAGCTGGGTGTCAGGCAGACTGAAGAAAGAATGTGTTCAGCTGGGTGTCAGTCTGACTTGAGAAAGAATGTGTTCAGCTGGGTCTCAGTGTGCTCAGCTGAGTATCAGCAGATTGAAAAAGGAATGTGTTCAGCTGGGTGTCAGGCAGACTTGAGAAGGAATGTGTTCAGCTGGGTGTCAGGCAGAC